AACCTTTACCTATCCAGTAATGGCATCCACTAAAACAAAAGATATTTATAACTTCTGCACATGTTCATCACTATAAAGTCAATTTGCCAATTCTCTCCAGGAAAGGTTCCACTCCTTTGAATGGGTTGTTGTAATTTTTGTTGTTGTTAGGTGCCATTGAGTCGGTACCAACTCATATCGACCTTATGCACAACAGAACAAAACACTGCCTGATCCTGGGCCAACCTCAAAATTGTTGCCACATTTGAGCCATTAATGTTGCCACTTTGTCAATCCATCTCACTAGAGGTCTTCCTCTTTTTCTCTGACCTTCCACCCTACCAAACATGATATCCTTCTCCAGCAACTGATCCCTCCCAACAATATGTCCAAAGTATGAGAGACAAAGTTTGGCCATCCTAGCCTCCAAGGAGCACTCTGGCTGCACTTTTTCCAAAACAGATGTTTGTTCTTTTGGCAGCCCATGGCACTTTCAATATTCTCCTCCAACACCATAACTCAAAAGTATCTATTTTTCTACGGTCCCTTATTCACTGTCCAGCTTTCACATGCATATGAGGTTATTGAAAATACGATGGCTTGGGTCAGGCGCACCTTAGTCCTCAAGTTGACATCTTTGCTCTTCAACAGATGTGCCTAATACAATACATCTTTTGATTTCTTGACTGCTGCTTCCATGAGTGTTGATAGTTGATTCAAGAAGAAAGAAGTCCTTGACAACTTCAATCTTTTCTCCATTGATAAGAATGTTGTTTATTGGTCCAGTGGTGAGGGTTTTTGTTTTCTTTACATTGCGATGCAATCCATACCAAAGGTTGTGCTCTTTGATCTTCATTAGTAAATATTTTAAGTTTTCTTCACCTTCAGCAAGTAAGGTTGTATCATCTGCATATCGCAGGTTGTTACTGAGTCTTCCTCCAATCTTGATGCCACGTTTTTCTTCATATAATCCAGCTTCTCGGATTATTTGCTCAGCATAGAGGTTCAATAAGTATGGTGAAAGAATACAACCCTGTCGCACACCTTTCTTCATTTTAAACCATTCAGTGTTCCCATGTTGTGTTCGAACAACTACCATCTTGGTCCATGTACAGATTCCTCATGAGCACAATTAAGTGTCCCAGAATACTCATACTTCACAGTGTTGTCCGTAGCTTGTCATGATCCACACAATTGAAAGTCTTTGCATAGCCAATAAAGCACAGGTAAATGTCTTTCTGATATTCTCTGCTCTCAGCCAAGATCCATCAGACATCAGCAATGATATCCCTCATTCCACGACCTCTTCTGATCCAGCTTGAATCAATGAAAGTTCTGTGTCAATGTATGCTTGCAGCCGTTTCAGTATTACCTTTAGTAAAACTTTACTTGCATGGGATATCAAAGATATTGTCTGATGATTTCTGTATTCTGTTGTGTCACCTCTCTTTGAAATGGGCACAAATACAGATCTCTTCCAATCAGTCAGTCAGATATTTGTCTTCCAAATTACTTGGCACAGATGAGTGAGTGCCTTGTTCCATCTCATTTTCTTGAAAGATTTCAATTTTCATTCCATCAATTCCTGGTGCCTTGTACTATGCCAATTCCTTCAATGCACCTTGGACTTCCTCTTTCAGTATCATTGGTTCTTGATCAAAGGTTGATCATCAACCATTTCCTTTTGGTACAGTGACTCTGTGTATTCTTTCCATATCTTCTTTTGATGCTTTCTGCATCATTCAATAATTTGTCCAATGAATCCTTCAGTAACAAAAGTCAAGGCTTGAATTTTTTCTTCACTCCCCTCAGCTTGAAAAATGTTGAACGTGTTCCTTCTTTTTGGTCTTCTGACTCCTCATCTTTGCACATTTTATTGTAATATTTGACTTTATCTTCTCAAGCTGACCTTTGAAATTTTCTGTTCAGCACTTGTACCTCCTCATTTCTTCCATTTGCTTTAGCATCTCTATGCTGGAGAGCAAGTTACATTGTCTCTTTATTAATTTCTTCCTCCTTTTAAACCAGTCTGTTTGATCTTGAAATCTGCCTGACCTCCTCTTGACTTGGACCTCTGTAACTGTACTTTCCCCTCCCATCACTTTGTAATTGTCTTGATCATAGATTGACATCTCTGATTCCTTATTTTCTGTTCTGCAACTTTGTTGTACTCTGAACCCTTCCATATCTAGACTAAATTCCAGGTGGTATTACTGTGTATGTCAATCTCCGGTTGTTTTCTGCTGTTGTAGATTCTCAGTCCAAAGAACTGCCTTTAATAATTTTTGTAGAGGTAGCTTGGTTTTTACAAATCTTTTAATTTCTGTTTATCCAGAAATGTTCTAATATTGCCCTCATTTTTGATGGACATCTTTGCTACATACTTAAGTCTAACCCAGGCAAACAGACAGTATGTCTACTATGGGGACTAAAATAAGGTAGAATACAGCATAAGAAATTTGTTTCCAAGTTCAAAATAGTGGGAATTTGTACACTTTATACCTTCCACTTACTGTATTTTTTTCCCTGTTACTTTACCTTTTGACTTTTCATGAATAAAATTTACTATCTACCAAAAAAAAAAAAAAAAAAAAAGCACTGAAGGCGTTGGCAAAGAACAAGGCTCTGGGAATTGATGGAATACAAATGGAAATCTTTCAACAAACTGATGCAACAGCATCAAACATATCTGTGTCAGAAGAAGTATAGGCAGAATGCTCCTTGACAGTGAGGACAAAGCTCATCTTCCTTACTTTAGACATGTTATCAAGAGGGACCATCCCTAGAGATGGACATTATGCTCATTAAAGTAGAGGGTCAGAGAAAAAAGGGAAACCCCTCAATTAGATGGATTGACACAGTGTCTGTAACAATGCACTCAAATGTAACAACGATTGTGAAAATGAGACAGGTCTGGGCTTTTTTTCCTTCTGTTGTGAGTTGGAACTAACTGGACAGCACTTAACAACATAGAAGTTTATATCAAGGAAATGGCTGACTCAGTTGTAGAGGTGGCCATGTCCCAAGTCCATTGGTCAGATGAACCAAGATAGGATGTCAGAAGACAGGTAGGATGATAAGATATCAAGTTGATTCCCAGTGTCAGCAAGCAATAGAACTGACCACCAACTGAAGTCCAAGAATTGGAGGTCTGATGACAAGCAAGCTACAGGATCTAGACCCAGCAAAAAAGTAAGCTAGTTTGCTTAAGTGTCCAACACATAAGAAGCAGCCCCCAAGGATACTTCATTTTAAATGACTGGCTGCTCATAGCAGATCTCAACATAGAGGTAATTACATTACATCTCATCATAGGGTAAAACTGCGTATCAACTCTCAAACCACTGAGGATCCTGACCCAGTTAAGTTGACACCAAACCTGAATGATCACACATAAAAGTAGTATCTTTGCTTTTTAACACTTTAAGGAGATCTTTTGCAGCATATTTACCTAAAGAAACATATACCATTTCTGTGGGTATTGATTGTGAGTTCAAATAAAATGAAATCCTTGACAATTTCCAAAAAAAAAAAAAAAAAAAAATTGTAAGTGGGTCAACTTGAAATTTGAGTTTTATAAGGATAAATTGATTATGGAATAAATTGTGTTCATTAAAAATTATTTTTCCCTAATTTCTATGAGAAGAGACTCATAGAAGTTCATGATATAATGTAAGTTGTCTTTTGTTTTCAAGAAAAGGGGACAATAAACTATATTCTTTCATCATCTTACTTTCTTCTTAGTTCACTGGGTTTTACAGCAACCATGATGTGTTCAGCAGATGGTATGCATAGCTTCTTATCTGATGCACTTAACTTTAAAAGGCATGTCATCTGGCGAGATCATTGAGGGCCAGTTAGGGTGTGGGAGACCCTCAATGAGATGGATTGGCACAACAGCCACAGTAATGGACTTGAACATGCTGGCAATTGTGAGGATGCTGTACGTAAGTTAAGGTCTCCTTGACTCAGCATTGACTTGACAGCAGCTTACAACAGGCATCACTTCACTTTCACAGAGGATAAATGCAAAGCCGGCTCTGGCACCATCATTTGCTTACACAAGGCTCTTCGACCAAGTCCACATTTCATCTGTGCCTCATCCATCACTGGTTAAATCACTTTGTTTTAAATAAAGTAGTAATTTGATTTTTACAGGGAGCTTCATTAGAATGGGGGGAAATTAAATTTTCCAAGGAAAGGAGGAAATGGTTGAATAAAAAAATATAACAAGTAATTGAATTTTAGGTCCATGGTGCCCCAGTGTGATTCAATTCTGACACATGGAACAAATAATGAAATGATAAAGTCTTCTTCTTCCATGCAGAAGCCCAGTAAAGTATATGAATAATGTGGTATTGAAAATTATCTGTTTCTTTTGACTATGTGTGACCCATTTACATCATGGGCTGAAGCTAGTATTTGCAGAGCAGTTTTAGGGTCCACATATATTTACGGGAGTCTACTATGCTGTAAAATAAGCACTCGTCTGTTAGCTGCAAGATTGGTGGCTCATACCTACCAGCTGCTCTTTGGATACTCTATAAGAATCACTATGAATGGAACCAACTTCACAGCTCTTAACAACATATGCAACATAGAACAAGGTGGGTAGTTAACATCTCACTTAATCCTGAAAAATCTGAGTGAGGGAGGTAGTAGTTTCCTCATTTTACATATAATGTAATAAAAGTTTAGGGAGATGGAAAAATATCCCATTTAGAATGTACCAGAGCTGGAACTTCAACCCTGTGCTTCGGATTCTAAATTGTATGTTATTTCTAGGACATTTAAGTAGAAATGGACTCACAATCCTGGGGGCTGGTACTTCTAGATACTGAGTTTCTAGTAATGGTCGTGCTATTTCTTGGTATCTAATTCAATTAAGAAAGTATGAAGGGAAATATTCATACTTGTGAGAGAACCTGAATAATCAATTCATAAATGGCCACTTAATGAATTGCAACTATCTTAAAACTTTCAATAAGCAAATGGTTTTTTTGTTTTGTTTTTTTTTGAAGGTAGTGCTCAATGCTCGAGAAACTGCAGGGAAAGGACACTAATACAGAGATGATGAAATCGCTCCTTGGTTTTTGTTGTTAGTTACCATGAATTAGCTCTGACTCATGGTGATTCCATGTATATCAGAACAGAATGTTGCCTGGCTCTGTATCATCTTCATCTCATTGGTATGGTCAAGTCCATTGTTTCGGTCACTGTGTGTTTTGTGTCCTTTCCAACCCAGGGCATCATCTTCCATAATATATCAGACAACAGTTGGCTGGTTTCCATTGGACAATTTTCAAAAATAGATTACCAGGCTTTTCTTCTTAGTCTGGAGACTCTACTAAAACCTTTACACCATGGATGAGCCTGCTGATATTTTAAATATCAGTGACGTAGCTTCAAGCAGCACAGTCAAACATAAGCCACCACAGTATGATAAACTGACTGATGGGTTAATTGGTTTAATCTTCCTAAATATGAATTGGAAATAAATGCCAATAAACTTAAAAATGACAGTACCACTTGTCACAGGCATATATGACCTCTGACTATTTCCTAAGAAAGAAAATATGTGGATATATATACAAAAATGTATTTGTTTTTTCCTTCAAATTGCTATCATTGTTGTTAAGTGCTGTGGAGTTGATTCCAACTCATAGCGACTCTGTATAGGAGCAGCTGGTGGGTTTGAACTGCTGACCTTGTGGATCGCAGTCCAGTGCAGACCCTACAGCACCACACCAGGATTACAAAATAATAATTCAGAAGTACTTCCATATCTTCATATATTTCTGAAAGTTCTCTGGAAGGGTAAGCATCAGCTAACCAGAAAACTCTTGTCATTGTCATTGTCATTGCCCTCTTCCCCTTTTTTAGTGAAGCCTGCTGCCTGTGGCTGGGTAAGGTGCTGGTCAATCCCTCCGGTTCTGGGGAGTCATACCTATCTTTCTGGACATGATTGTTTCCGGGCACCACCACCACCACTCCCTGGTGCTGAGACCAGGGTGCTTCAGAGCGAGACTCGTGTCTGTGGATAGGATGGGCAGGGGAGACAGATGCTGACTACTATCACATTGTTATCACTATTACTAGGGACATTTCCTCTCATAACTGAGCCTCTATGACTAGACTGAACTGTCTCATCCTATTTCAAGAGAACCCTTGGACTCTACAGCCACCACTGACCCCACCAGCAGGCCAGAACAACTGGATTCTACTGTGGATCAAGGTTTAGCCACAGTCTTGGATTTCTGCCCACATGTATGTATTCACACTCAAACCATCCTTGGACCCTCAACCTCTCAAAGCAGTGCTAGAGAGGGGTAGCAACTCTCTAGCAGTGTTAAAGAGGGGTGGGCAGAACAGAGTCCATTCCAAACCCACAGCTGTTGAATTGGTTCCAACTCATGGTGAGCTCATGTGTTACAAAGAACTCACCCACAAAATTTCTTGGCTGTATTCTTTTGGGAAGTATATCACCATAAGTTTATTACACTGGGTAGGGTCAAACCACAAACCTTGTGAAATGTATATTTGTGTGTGTGTGTGTGTGTGTATATATATATTTATACATTGTTGTTATGTGCTGTTGAGGCAGTTCCAACCCATAGTGACTTTGTATAGTATTTCCAGGGAGCAGCTGCTGTACTTGCACCACCAACCTTGCAGTTCAAACCGACTTTGCAGTCTAGCACATTAACCCACAGCATCACACCAGGACTATATATGCTATAAAAGTTCCCATCAAGGAAATGGCTCACAACTGTAGAGGTGGCAGAGTCCCAAGTCTGTGTCAGATGAACCAAGATTGATAGGTCCAGGAGACAGACAGGCAGGTAGATATGAAAGCAGGCTGCTGATGGCTCCAAGGATTGGAAGGTGATACAGCAGGCCAGTGGCTCAAGTCCAAATAACCAGAGGTTAGAGGACAAGCCAGATGCAAGATTCAGACCCAGCAGAAAGCAAGCAAGTTTTGCCTGAATGTCCAATATATTGGAAGCAGGCCACACTGCTCATAACCAATCATCACAGAGTTAACTACAATGTATTAGATCTCACCATGGAGATAACTGTATCTTAACTACCAAACCACTGGGAATCCCGGCCCAGTCAAGTTGACCCAACAATTTACCAATCACAGCAGTCAAGTACAAACCATTGGTACCACTCAGAAACTCCAAGTCTTTCCTTGCTGCCACCTTTTTCTGGTCTGGGTTTGCTGGATGTTCTTTTAGCATAAAGCACGACAAAGAGCAGGAATGCCATGGGTCAACCCCTCTACTTGAGCACTAACACAGAGTGAAAGGAATTCAGATCTGAAATTGCACAATTTTGTGTGGCCTGTTTCTTAGACCTCATAAAGCTGGGGTAACATGACTCTGTTGACCTTTGGCTGCTAACGAAAACAAGGTAAGCATTTCTAACTCCTCCCTGTCCAAGGGAGGACCAGAAATAAATCTGAACCTATTTACAACCCTCTTTTCCCTAAAGGTGATAAAAGGCTTCCCCCATTTTAACTGGGTCCCTCCCAGGTTCTTGTATTTGCTGCTTGGTTTTTAAAAGGGAGTGAAGGTATTGAGTATCTTTCAACTATTTACCAGAAAAACAACAAAGATCAGATTACCAGTTTAGAGTGATTCATCTTTCCTCCCCAATCAGAGCTATGTGTACATTGAGTCTGTGTACATATTAGTTCGTTTCACCCATTTGGTCGGCTCAGGAGTGGGAGGCAGGGACAAAGGCCTGGAGAAAAGAGCAGTGGAGTAATTAAGACATCAGACAGGGAATAGCAGGGGCCCTTTTGCTTCTTTCACATGAAGATTTGAATGTTTTGTGTTTTTTTTAAGCAAAAATATCTCTGATTTCCCACTGTCAAGCCAATTAATGATATTTTCACCAGGATCCTGGTTTGGGAGATGTTTTAATTTTGGAGAAGTTTCCATGACAAAAAGCATGTCTATATCTTTAGTAAAAATGAAAATCCTTATTTGAAGAATTATGTGAAGCATCCTACTGACGAAGATTAAGGAGCACAGCCTTCGGTATAGATTGCATCTCAATGTCAAGAAAACAAAAATCCTCACCACTGGACCAATAAACAATATTCTCATCAACAGAGAAAAGATTGAAATTGTCAAGGACTTCATTCTTCTTGGATCAACTACCAACACTCATGGAAGCAGCAGTCAAGAAATCAGATGATGTATTGCATTAGGCAAATTTGCTGAACAATACCTTTTTAAAGTGTTGAAGAGCAAAGTTGTCAGCTTCAGGACTAAGTGTGCCTGA